CTCTCTCTCTCTCTCTCTCTCTTCGATCAGCTCACTGGCGGCTGAAGCATCGGATACAAGCGGCGAAGGCACGCGGATATACGTACGGGAATATTCAACGATGTGGTCTCGGTGTGTTCGCAGGTCTGGTTCCAGAACGCCCGCGCAAAATGGCGGCGCATGGTGCTGAAGCAAGAGGGGAAGTCGGACAAGTGCGACAGCAGCGTGGACGGCGGTTCCCTTGGCGACCTTGAGCTTTATGGCAACAGCACCGGAAGCGGCGGCCCGCCAATGAGCCCTCCATTCATGTTGGGTGGACCGCACAGTCCGGCGTCCTTGGCGTCCTTGGACTGCGCGTGATCCCCGAAATTTCGTGTCCGGAACAGGCCAGCCGAGCGATTCGCGAAACGATTCTCGTCGTTTATGTGGTCTAGAGTTCACGGCTACGAAGCCACTTACACCGACGGGACGAGCCGATCGTTTCGTTCGATCGTGTAAATTTACGATACCCTTCGCCTTTAAAAGGGCGCGGATAATAAGACGCTGTGAATAATTTATTCGTCGAAGGCATCTCGAGCGGTTCGAACGATCTCTCGACTTCAGAGATCATTCTTTTACGTGGCTGGGTGGATCTACCGATTGAGATATAAAATAAATACACTGGCGTGGGACTCGATTAGAACGAGAGAGAGACTTCTCAGAGGTGTGCACTGTAGCACGCCACGTGTATATAGAACATTTATTTTCAGTTTCAATTATGAGTGAAAGGGTGAACATGGGAGTTTCCTTAGCAAGGGCGTTCTCCGAGCGACGTTCGATCAACGGCGGAAATGGAGGCTGTATCATAATGAAGAATAAAGTAATCGAAGGGTGTGTAAGGTTATATTTATTGCGAGCGAGAGCTTGATTTTTAGGACACAGTTCTTTGTTGTAGAAAACGCGTTATCGGAACGATGACGTAAAATTTTACGTACGCACGAAGCGTGCACGCTTCAATGGAATCCAGCTCGAAGAACTGTTTGTAATTATTATTAATGTCTATTTATTGGTTCATAAACGTCTTAAGGTAAGCTTAGTTAAGCGTTACGAACTTACCAGTGCTGTGTGAAAATCCAACGTTTCCATGGGAGTTGTGGAAGAAGGGATGAACTTTGTACTTGGTAATAATATCAAGTACAAAGTTCAGCCCTTTGACATTACGATATTATTGCTGACGATCGATATCGGCGACGGATCGTTGGGCTCGTGAGTTGAAACGCACGGAACGAAGAGTCATCGAAATTGTTAATTAAAAAGAAAACGTTGGTGTGTTTCGTGTCGTGCGAAACGTTGGGTTTTAACGTCGAATAAATACGAGTATATAAATATATAAATATATTATTTATGAATAAATTCGGGCACGTCGAGCGTGTCAATTAACAAGTGTGACTGTAATTATTGCTCAAGTAAAGAACAGAACGGTAAAAAATGGAATAAATCAAAGAGGAAGAATAGGGGGGGGGGGTGTTAGAATGAATTGCAGCTCGCATCGTGCCCGATCGCGAATCATTGACGTTAACTTCACGGTAAATGTTGTAAATAAAGGACGTTCCTCGAGTTTCTTAAGGCACCGCTATAGGTTGTAGGGACTCTAATTGCATTCGGTAGCGGTTCTGTTAGACAAGGTAATAATGATGACGTCGATTATTATTATTATCACTCCTATTAATATCCTGTAATGAATGGAACGATTGTCTAATTTTACAAGATGATTTTTTCATTGAATATATTTTGACAATATACTCGCTGCCTCTGTCGACTTTTTCATTCAGAATCCCTTGCTACTGTTCTTCCTTGTCCCTTATACTATTTGTCTTCAATCTGTCAAATTATTAAAATTATTGACAACTGAAAATATCAATCGATTCGTTTTTTGTGGACAAATTCAAAAAATTTTTTTCTGCATTCTTATTAAATTTGAAAACATTCTGGGACATTTATTGAAGTTTCTATTCTATAATCAGACTCTTTAGATGAAACATTCATTGGATGAAATTTTATCCGATGCGTAAATAATTCAATTGGTCCCGATTTTGGAGCATTGTGTCTTCTTCTGTTTAGAAGGTAAGAAAATTAAAAGAGATCTAAATAATAAATAAAGAAAATATTAACTTTAAAAGTTATTTGTCTAACAAATACAAAATTTGAGATCTCTCGTGCAAAAAAAAAATATTTCGCTCGAAAAATAATTTCTTTCCAAAATCTTGCCATAAAAAAAAAAAAAAAAGAACCGAGCGTATTTAAAGAGTATCCGATTTCACGGAACGCTCGAATGATATACGCACGTATGTAAATACATAAAGAAGAAAGAAAAACGGAAAAAACGTGGGAAAGGCAGGAAACACTCGTTGTCGAAGCAACACGAATGTTCTTCTGGGATGAACCTGTTAGCGG